GTATTGAAAAAGTGTTCTTTAGTTATCTACAACATTTATTGCACCAAGAAGTGAAATTTTTAGACTTTCCCTCACTAACTTTTTTAAAGCTTCTTGAGTAATGAAGTAATTAAAAATCAAAAAATAGATTAAAAATAGGACAATCCTTCTAGCACCTTAGATTCTGTTTGGCCGAAGAAATAACACAAGATTTGGTGCTCGTGTTAAAAGCTACACCCAGGTTTTTTTATGATTATTCCGCAAACTGGAACTATTTACATTCCCCTGGGTTGAACTGCTGTATAACATGCTTTGAAGTAATGCGGTATGATGCAGACATTTTTTGCAATCCTGCATTTAAGGCTCCCAAGTCAGCTCAAAAATACCTCAAGCTTTGCTATACCTGTAAAGAATTCAGACAAGCCACAGTACCTGCCATTAAAGACAAGCGTTACCCTAGAACATATTCCTTATCATATTCAGCGTAACAAAATCCAGCCAGGTCAAAAGAAACATCAAGGAAACCACTTCAGCTGCAAAGTTGGGTGGTTTGGTTTTTTTTTTTCTTTTGCAGGATTTCAGACACCACCTCTATGGGTTTCACACACCAAAAGGACAAGAACAGCAGGCACAGGTAGAAGTGAAATTTTTAGACTTTCCCTCACTAACTTTTTTAAAGCTTCTTGAGTAATGAAGTAATTAAAAATCAAAAAATAGATTAAAAATAGGACAATCCTTCTAGCACCTTAGATTCTGTTTGGCCGAAGAAATAACACAAGATTTGGTGCTCGTGTTAAAAGCTACACCCAGGTTTTTTTTATGATTATTCCGCAAACTGGAACTATTTACATTCCCCTGGGTTGAACTGCTGTATAACATGCTTTGAAGTAATGCGGTATGATGCAGACATTTTTTGCAATCCTGCATTTAAGGCTCCCAAGTCAGCTCAAAAATACCTCAAGCTTTGCTATACCTGTAAAGAATTCAGACAAGCCACAGTACCTGCCATTAAAGACAAGCGTTACCCTAGAACATATTCCTTATCATATTCAGCGTAACAAAATCCAGCCAGGTCAAAAGAAACATCAAGGAAACCACTTCAGCTGCAAAGTTGGGTGGTTTGGTTTTTTTTTTTCTTTTGCAGGATTTCAGACACCACCTCTATGGGTTTCACACACCAAAAGGACAAGAACAGCAGGCACAGGTCCACAGAGATCACTTAAACAACGTGGTTACCAAGTACGAAAACAAACAAACATTTAGGGCTTCTTTCAAGGGAGTTCTAGGCAGCAGTAAGGAATGAGCCCTGCATCACCTCCAAAATACACCATGCCTGCCTATGAATATCCCTCAGCTAGAAGGGCAGGCAAGATAAAATTCACAGCAGCTTTGCCCATCCCAATAAGGAACCACTCTGATTAACTGTGACCCATTTACACCAAGGCTAACGCAAGATCTACAGAAAATAATACACTTTGGTAGTTACTTTCAGAAGATATTTCATCTGATTTTTTTTCCTTGCATTACAGAACTGAAATGCTTTATCAAGACTAAAGAAAAATTCTCCTGTTTGTGATGTGTGCAGAAGGAGGAACTGAAAGGGAAGCTCTTATTTCCTCAAAAAAAAAAAAGATTACACACATTCCTCTGCAAGCTTTCTTAAACATGCCACCTAGACCCAACAAGTGTACCAGAAATCATTAAGAATCAAAATCCAGTACAGGCAGATCCCCCTTCCCCCCCACCAAGGACACTGAAGATATGTTCACATGAACGTTGGCATTATCACTGTAGACGTGTTAGCTTTGCCACACGAAGCTTGATATTACAAATAGAATTGCACCTAGATAAAATTATAAGCTCTCTGGAGAGACTCCAAATATAGCAGGGACCAGGAAAAGAAAAAAAAAAAAACAGAACAAAGTAGACATTTTACTTATACTTCCAGTAATAAGTCGTCTCCTCATATAAGACAAATTATGATCATGTATTACCTAGAGCTGCAGGCTCTGCTACAGTCTCCAAGAGCGAGCTTTGAGGTGTAAACAGACTCCAAGACACCAACATCCTCCACGTACCAACTAGCCAACATGAGGAGGAAAGAAGATGACGGGAAGATCCTTCCCTAGCCCTGGCTAACATATTACATGTCACTGTACTATGTGCCATGGTGGCACCGGGATCGGACTGCCTCCACTCCTGAAGAGGCATGCCTGTTTCTGCCTGGCAGGAAGGCAGCAGAAAGAGCTGCATATGTCAATGTTTTTTCAGTTGCCACAAGCACAGTTTAACTATTTTGCATTGGGAAAAAAATAGATATGGCCAGAAGTGACGCTTGAAAAGCTGACTACCTTCCTGGTCATGGGAAACAATCCACAAACTCAGGTGGCAGAGGCAGATGAGAGCAGTTTTTCAGATTCAGACACACTGCCATCCCCTCAAGTACCCGTATCACCTCCAATTAGCTAACAACCATCGAGCTGGCCTCTGTTATTCAGATCTGTCAGCTCTAGGTCAGGCTACAGACATGCAACATGCCTGGGCGTAACAGCCTGCAGCAACCAGCAGCCCGGCTAACACACAACTGTGTAACACACCTCAGGAACAGCAGATAAACAAATCTGACCTCGTGTCTGAAACATTACTCACAGAGCATCGGGTTCAAAATGCCGATTCTTATCTCCACGGCATTTAAGGCCTGGGGCCAAAAGTTAACTGAAGGTGCTCTTTATTCCACAGAATCAGTATTAAAAAAAGCTTTGCCAACTATGAAATTTTCCAGAATGAGGTTAGCATTGACGTAGGAAAGCGACAAGCAGCTCAAGCTTTTTCTGCTTACAATTCCCACATTTACAGGCTTATTACTTATAACCCTTGCAGGTTTTTTGTTAATTTTGTAGCATCCTATCGACATCAGGCACGCAACCCTTACTCAATGCCTGGCATCACCTTCAAACTCTCACTCTCGAGGCATTTGTCTCTCTATTCCTCACCCACTCCACAGGTAAATCATCAACAATGAAACAGAGCACACTTTGCTCCAAACGTTGCAGCAGTACGAGAGATGACTGCCTGAAAAGAGCCTATTACAACCTGCTATTGATAGAATAAAAAGCAATTAACTTAGAACATCAAAACCCATCCCGCTGACACAGCCTATACCCCTAGGGGAGGCTTTAAGCCGCCCATTAGGGCCCAGCAGAAACATTTTCTAAGCGGTATAAGCAAAGATCCCCCTGGCTGCCGCACGCCGGGGCCTGCGGGGCGCA